ATATTAGTAAGAGTATGACAAAAACAATTGAGAAAATCGATGACATAATAAAGTACCAATTTGAAATGAAGGCTACATGAACTGAAAGAAGAATAATTTACAGGGAATCAACAGTAGAGTAGAGGATGCTGAGAATCAAATCAGCAATTTGGAACATGAGGAAACAAAAAACAGAAGAGCAAAAAGAAAAAAGAATCCAGAAATATGAAGATAGCATAAGGAGCCTCTGGGACAACTCCAAGCAGCCCAACATTTGTATTATTGAGGTGCCAGAAGGGGAAGAAAGATACCAAGAAATTGAAAACCTATTTGAAAAAATAATGACAGAAAACTTCCCCTACCAGGAGAAAGAAATAGACTTACAAGTCCAGAAAGCACAAAGAGTCCCAAACAAGAGGAACCCAAAGAGGCTCACAGCAAGACACATCATAATTAAAATGCCAAAGGTTAAAGACAAAGAGAGAATCTTAAAAGCAGCAAGAGAAAAGCANAAGACAAAGAGAGAATCTTAAAAGCAGCAAGACAAAAGCAGTTAGTTACCTACAAGGGAGCACCCATACAACTGTCAGCTGATTTCTCAACAGAAACCTTGCAGGCCAGAAGGGAGTGGCAAGAAATATTCAAAGTGATGAAAAACATGGAACTACAGCCAAGATTGCTCTACCCAGCAAAGCTATCATTTAGAACTGAAAGTCAGATAAAGAGCTTCTCAGGCAAGGAAAACTAAAGGAGTTCATCGCCACCAGACCAGCACTGCATGAATTGTTGAAGAAGCTAATGAACAAAAGAACTTGACAAACAAAATAGACCCAGAGACACTGTCGCATGTAACAGATGATCATATTTCAGATGGAAAGAGGGAAGGAGGGGTGGAGGGTGGGAAGAGATTAACCAAACAAGTTGTATGCATATATGCATAACCCAGGGACACAGACAATAACAGGGTGAAGGCCTGGGGAGGGGGTGGGAGTGAGGTGGAGGGGGTCATGTGGGGGGAAAAATGGGACACCTGTAATATTTTCAACAATAAAGATAAATAATAATAATAAAAAAAGAATGCTCTACCATTTTACCAAACTAATATCTCAAACTGTAAAAACAACACAATTTTCTTAGATCTTCAAAATCCATCTTATAGTATGTCTCTCTTAAACCCAAAAAAAGATAAGAAAAAAAAATTATAATTATTGCTTTTGATTTTGATCTTCCTGAACCAAAGTTGCGTAGTTAAAGAATTTAAAACTCAGTGTGCATGCTCCAGAGTGGTGCTCTCTCAAGTATAGTGACAAGCACCAGTAGATGCACAAGGAGATACTGGTACTTATAAACATGTCACTGTGTGGTTTGTGAGTAAGTTGGTCATGAATTCCACACTGCAGGCAACAGCTGTTAAATAGAAGTTCTCCAACAGGAAAGGATTGCTAATGCCATCCTTTCTCTTTTATTTGCTTTTAGCCTATTGCTGCTTATATGAGTGTGGCTCAATACATTTATCGATATCATCCAATTGCGATGAAAGAAATCCTGGTGAAAAAATTTCTACAAAGAAACAAAGGCATTATTCTGTACTCACTTTTTTTCTTCTTCTTTCCTCTACAATAAAGTCTGGAAAGCTAAATTAATTGTCCAGACTTTCTTTTAATAAGGATTGCCCATGTGACTCAGTGCTGGAAAATTAAATGTGTCAGTCACTGGGTAAAAATTCTAAGAAAATCAGATTCAGCTGTCATTGAAAATAAAACAAGTCATTGAGGATGGCAAAGAAGTAGAAGAAGCCTGGATCCTTGGTAAGAGTGTGCTGGTGCTGCCTAACTCTGGAGTGCCTATGCTCAGACATATGGCTCATTACTTACTTACACTAATGTCAGTTAAGCTTTCTGTTGCTTTCAATGGAACACAATAGTGGCTGAATTAGGCTGTGAAGGTAACACTCTTCATAGGCTGTTAATCATGCAGAAACATGAAAATGGCTGACCTAATATCCACCCTACTAGAAGGATGAGTTCTTTGTCACTCATATAACAAAGTCAGAAACACTTAAATGATAAAGAAGACTATTTGAAGTGTATATTTACACACATAATCATTAATAACAAACCTAGAGCTCAGTGTATTAACCTTCAGAATCAGTTCATAATAATGGTACATATAGTTTATGTGGAAATTCAAACATATATGTTGGAGTTGATGGTTATCTCTTGATAGGCAAAAGACTTAAAATACATTTGAATGTTATATTACACAATATTAAAGATTTGAATTAGTAGAAAGAGACCCATTAAATATTTTCTGAAAGCCAAAATTCTATTTTATATCACCTTCTAGCTAATTTCTAAATTTGTACGTATCTATTTCCTTAAAGCAAAATATGACTAAATTAAGATTGAGAAGGGCCAGCAGCCAAAATTAAGCAATTTTAAACCTCCTTTAAAAAGAGCCCAATCTTTTCTTTTCCTCAAAAATCTAAGTTACTGCATTGTCACAGAGACTATACTAAAAGTGACAGCCCTCTGCTTAGTTCTTCATCTGATGTCTTACATTGTGTTTATAAAGATTTCTCCTCCCCCTTTTAGTTTGTATTAATTTGTAACTATGCATAATGAAAACTAGACACAAATCACTATTTATCTGAATATTTAAAATAATGGAAATGAAAAAAACGATCTCTTACCTGAAGTGTGATTAAAGGATACTGAAAGAGGAAGAAAATGTAGGTTAATATTGTAATAGTGCATTGTTTTTTGGCCACATATTGCATTTATAAAGATTACTTGACTTAATTTAAGTATTGAGACTTAGCCCTCACTTTCCCAGAGGGCAGAGTTTCTACTGCAAAGGTTTCATGCAACCCATNAATAATAATAAAAAAAGAATGCTCTACCATTTTACCAAACTAATATCTCAAACTGTAAAAACAACACAATTTTCTTAGATCTTCAAAATCCATCTTATAGTATGTCTCTCTTAAACCCAAAAAAAGATAAGAAAAAAAAATTATAATTATTGCTTTTGATTTTGATCTTCCTGAACCAAAGTTGCGTAGTTAAAGAATTTAAAACTCAGTGTGCATGCTCCAGAGTGGTGCTCTCTCAAGTATAGTGACAAGCACCAGTAGATGCACAAGGAGATACTGGTACTTATAAACATGTCACTGTGTGGTTTGTGAGTAAGTTGGTCATGAATTCCACACTGCAGGCAACAGCTGTTAAATAGAAGTTCTCCAACAGGAAAGGATTGCTAATGCCATCCTTTCTCTTTTATTTGCTTTTAGCCTATTGCTGCTTATATGAGTGTGGCTCAATACATTTATCGATATCATCCAATTGCGATGAAAGAAATCCTGGTGAAAAAATTTCTACAAAGAAACAAAGGCATTATTCTGTACTCACTTTTTTTCTTCTTCTTTCCTCTACAATAAAGTCTGGAAAGCTAAATTAATTGTCCAGACTTTCTTTTAATAAGGATTGCCCATGTGACTCAGTGCTGGAAAATTAAATGTGTCAGTCACTGGGTAAAAATTCTAAGAAAATCAGATTCAGCTGTCATTGAAAATAAAACAAGTCATTGAGGATGGCAAAGAAGTAGAAGAAGCCTGGATCCTTGGTAAGAGTGTGCTGGTGCTGCCTAACTCTGGAGTGCCTATGCTCAGACATATGGCTCATTACTTACTTACACTAATGTCAGTTAAGCTTTCTGTTGCTTTCAATGGAACACAATAGTGGCTGAATTAGGCTGTGAAGGTAACACTCTTCATAGGCTGTTAATCATGCAGAAACATGAAAATGCCTGACCTAATATCCACCCTACTAGAAGGATGAGTTCTTTGTCACTCATATAACAAAGTCAGAAACACTTAAATGATAAAGAAGACTATTTGAAGTGTATATTTACACACATAATCATTAATAACAAACCTAGAGCTCAGTGTATTAACCTTCAGAATCAGTTCATAATAATGGTACATATAGTTTATGTGGAAATTCAAACATATATGTTGGAGTTGATGGTTATCTCTTGATAGGCAAAAGACTTAAAATACATTTGAATGTTATATTACACAATATTAAAGATTTGAATTAGTAGAAAGAGACCCATTAAATATTTTCTGAAAGCCAAAATTCTATTTTATATCACCTTCTAGCTAATTTCTAAATTTGTACGTATCTATTTCCTTAAAGCAAAATATGACTAAATTAAGATTGAGAAGGGCCAGCAGCCAAAATTAAGCAATTTTAAACCTCCTTTAAAAAGAGCCCAATCTTTTCTTTTCCTCAAAAATCTAAGTTACTGCATTGTCACAGAGACTATACTAAAAGTGACAGCCCTCTGCTTAGTTCTTCATCTGATGTCTTACATTGTGTTTATAAAGATTTCTCCTCCCCCTTTTAGTTTGTATTAATTTGTAACTATGCATAATGAAAACTAGACACAAATCACTATTTATCTGAATATTTAAAATAATGGAAATGAAAAAAACGATCTCTTACCTGAAGTGTGATTAAAGGATACTGAAAGAGGAAGAAAATGTAGGTTAATATTGTAATAGTGCATTGTTTTTTGGCCACATATTGCATTTATAAAGATTACTTGACTTAATTTAAGTATTGAGACTTAGCCCTCACTTTCCCAGAGGGCAGAGTTTCTACTGCAAAGGTTTCATGCAACCCATGTTTTCTTTGCATGACGAAGTCTTAAAGAAGTATAAATTAACTCATGATAAAGGAAAGTTATACATTTAAATTTGAGGTTTAGCAATGAAACTATACCTATATAGTTCTCTATGTTATAATCTATTTTCATACTTATGAAAAACTTCCTGAGGACACTTTATATAGCAATAGATTTATTTGATTTGCTTAAATTTCATTGTGCCATTGGAAAGTATTGAACTCACCAACTCATCAACAGGTTTGAACTTGATATTCAGTGTCACAATTCGAATTTGAACTAAAAGAAAAGAAAGAGGGGGAAATATTTTTTTCTTGTTATTTCTCTCCCAGGTAAAATTGCCTACAAATAGACATGGGAATGAGTTGCCTTGCTGTCATAGAATGCTGTCCTCCCTTCTCCCCTAGCTCTGATTTGATCCTTTGAGATTTGAGTTCCATTTGGAAAGATCTCTTATTGCACATTTGTAATTCGTCTGCTGACAATGCTGGTTGTTACCAAAGCTGACCCTAGCTACTGCCACCCCTGGAATTGGTGGCAGAATGAGTCATAGAGGATGAATGTGAAATATGTATGCTAAGAGTTAGACACAATTTTTCTAGAAAAATGTATTGATGTTAACAATATTACATTATATTAATTTTAGCAGAATTCTAGAAAACCATTTTAGCTACTTTTGTACACATAATTGTCATCACAGCATTTTAATAAGTTCAGAGAGAGAATATAATGCAGCCTAAAAAAATCTCACCATACAAATTGTTTCAATTCTTTTCTTTTCAATAAATCACACATTAGAAGCATATACATATAATTTAGAACAAAGCATACAGATGTCCTCATTTAACCCTCTATTTTACAACTGAGAAAACTGAAGATCTCTAAGATGAGAATTTGCTTGGCAAAAGCCAATAATTTATTAACAGAGTCAAGATGAAAACCATATCCTTCTGAACTCTTGTTTGGTGTTCTTTCTGCTACCTTCTACTTACAATAATAAAGAAAATAGAAGAGCTCTGCTTTGGTTTTCAGATTCATGATTACTTCTGATATGAATAATGATAATAGTGATAATAAATGTCATTTATGGAGTCTTTACTCTGTGCTAGGTACTGTTTTACATTGACTATCTTATTTTATTCTCACAATATTTGTATAAGTGAGATACTTTGGTTATCTTCATTCTACAGATAAAATGAGTCTAAACAGAGATTTAACTAGCTTTCCCACCAAACACTTTTGCTCCACATCCAATGCTTGTAACCAATGTATTAAGTCTGTCACTAGCATTTGTTCAAAGTAAAAGTGGCATGCAAAATTTTAAGAAGCAAAGCATTCGGTTACTGGAGTTTGAGGGAATTATTTTATAATTGACCTAGTCAACCAGTAAAAATTCTAAAAATCTATGATTCTATAACATTAAGGACACATTTAAGACTAAAATTCATATGTTTGGGTTGCTCTAAATTTGAAGACTGTGTTCATAATGTCAGTGACACAAAGGAAGCATGAATGTTGACTTACCGTTTTCTCCAGGTTTATAAATGGGTTTATCCGTCTGCACGAAGGTTACTGTCTCTTCAGCAACCTCTGAAACAAGTGCTACGGACCTCCTCTCAAAGATTTTAAGAGTATCTCCCTTAGCCAGCAATGTCACAAAAGCTAACTGTGCAGAGGACTTCTGAGAAACCTGTTTATGTTGAAGAACAGAGAATGGGACAATTATTTTTAGACGCTAAGAAGGTGAAAAACATCTTAATTTGGCTTCTCAGTCTGAGAGAGCCTTGTAAGCCCATTATTTCTTAATGAGATTACTTGTTACAATTTCTTTATTTAGCATGAGAACAGTTTCTAATAAACTTTTTTGTCTTCTTGCCTTCTATTTTTGTTATTGTTGTTGCCCTAAGTCCCAATTCTGCTTCCCTCTACCTAGATTCTATTGTCTCATCTTGTTAAACAGTTCTATCAAAAAGCAGTAATTATGTCTTATAATTACACCATAAATAGAAAAATGGCAATATTTCACAAATTTTTTGACTATGTAAACTTACATTTTGTTTCTTGCCTCAGAAATTCTCTCATTTTATTCCCTAGCTTCCATAATTCATCTGAAATCAAGATTTGTTATTCCTCTAAAACTAAAATTTAAATAATAATTTCATGTTCCCATCTAAAGTTCTGAAAGGACAAATTCAGTGCCTCACCTTGAAATCTGCGCAAGCATAGAAGTTCTCCTCCTCCACAGACTGGTCAAAAATAGTGGTATTGACTTCACCATACTCTAGGACAATGCTCAAGGATACAGACTCGTTAAGGTTTAAAAGGTGGAGACAGGCCTTTTCTGTAGAGTGACTCTGGATCACAGAGGAGACCCATAGAATATATTGCCTATGTAGGAGACATGCAGAACATGCAGAGAAAGCACTGTTAGCTTATTGAAAAAGTCCTGAAACATAACTCATTTTTTATTACAACAAACTTGAAGTAGGCAGGGAAAAGTATCTTAAGGAAAACATGTCAACTCCCTTCATACACTTGTTTAAAGTTTATGAGGCAAAACAGCGCTCAGTCTCAGAAGTGGTAAAATATCTAATTTTAACACAGAACATATTTAAAAGGTCACTTCTCTGGTACTTTAATATGAATAGAGTGTATAATATTCCCTTACGGTTCTGAAGCCACAGCCAAATGAAGCCAAAGGGTGCTCAGCAAAATAGTAAGCTTCATTTTATCCCAATGCCTGAACCATAGGGTTCAAGGTAAATTAAATTCTCTCTCTGTCTCTTTTTCTCTTAATAGAAGTCAGCTGCCTCAACCCTCCAGTGTCTTTCCTTCCTTCTGCTCTGCCCCTCTCTGTAGAGTGTTGCTTTTATAGCCACACAATGAAGGATCAATTATTTTTTTGGAGCAAGTATCATGAGAACCATCAATCACACTTAGATCACCTTCCCCATCATTTCTCAAGGGTTGCTAAGACGAGACTTCCTTCTTAAATTCACTGACACTGCTGTTTTTGGAATTAGCAGCATAAGCTGGACAGGAGGAAAGAGAAAAGCAAAGAAAGCACTTGTGTGATACTTAGGAGTTGGTTCATGAGTTAATTTAGTACTTCACTCACAGGGCCCACCCACAGTATCAGACGCATTAATTAGTAGGAATTAGCACAGGAAAGAAAACTGCCCCTCTAAAGAGCTGTTGCCATTCCAGTTCCCCAAAGGTAAATTTTCCAGGCTTCTGAGGAAGGGGAATATCTGATGTTGCCAAAACCCAGATGCAAATAGACATCTCGATATGGGCTTATTTTACAGGTAATTGAAACAGTTGACATTCTTTTATAATTTCCTAATGCAGAATACAGCATTTAAAATGTTGATATGCATTCAACATTTACTATGATTTTTCTGAGTGAGGTTTTTTCTATTTACAATGTTCAATATCCTTTTCTACCTTAAATATAAGAAAAAATGGAAAACGTGATAAATATGCATGCGTGCATACACAGATACTAGTCACTTTGGGGGGAAAAAAAGAAAAAGATTTAGTGTAACTTTGGTTGCGGACCATTTCTGCAAGGAAAATGAGCCATACCAGAGCAACTGGCAACCTGTTGGCAGAGACTCCAGTGTGGTAACTCTTCCTTCATCATGTTTTCTTTAACATCCTTCCTATTTCAAATATAGATGGAGTTAACGCCTTTGGCTTGAAGAATAGTGTTATGTTGAGTAACAAAAGACAGGAACTGATGTTAGTCTTTTAGAGAGAGGCTTGCAACACTGCAACGGCAAATACAAAGGAAAGAACAACATAACCAATTATAACAGAGGAGAGCTGTAATGGAAGGTGAAACACGGGCAACTGTGAGGCCTGGGGAGTGTGACCACAAGGGCTCCTTTGACCACATTTCATATTCCAACACAGAACTGTGTTCACGACAACTCAGGCCGTGTTGTTCTCTCAGTTGAATTAAAACATGGCTCCCTTCCCCATACCTGTTTAGGACTTTTGTTTTTTTCTGCCTTCCTTCTAAAGAGCTAATCCTCAATTGTTAACCTGCCCTACTAATTTTAAGATTTACTTTCCACTGGATAGTCAAACTGTGAGTCTCTGTTTTGGAGCAATACTTTTCCCTCAGCCCCTTAAGCTTATTATTAGAACCACTCTCTATACTCCTCTCTCCATTCTCATAAGATAAATTATGCCACTTGCTTCCAGAACAATGGACACTTGCAATTTTCACTCATTAGCATTCAAGACAAGCAGCACCACCAGGCAGATTGCTTATAAATCAAAGCAACCAGTTCTTTATTCCCAATGCTGATAAATCTAAAGTAATGAAGCTCCTCTAAAAAAGTTTTATTTTTCCAACTGTAATCTTTTTTTTGCTGAGTAAATGACTCAATTTATCTTATCTGGTTATTGTCGGCTGGAGATTAATGGGCTCTCATTCCAGAAAATTCAGATATGACTCCAACAGGATCTACTGAGTACTTCTTGTTTATTAGCAACAGTGCTGGTTTCTAAAGACAAAAAGATGAAGAAGACACAGTTCTCTAAAAGAATTTACCTTCTAGTAGACAAGGGAAGAAAGAAAAGGGGAAAGGGAGGGAGAAAGAAGGAAACTAAGGAAAAAAGGGAAGGAGGGAGGAAAGGGGGGAGAGAGAATGACAATAAAGTGAAAGAGATGTGCTGAAGAGGGAGGCTGTTTGCTGAGTACTTAATAATCAACAGGCAATGAGCTAGATGCTGATATTGACAGTATCTAATTTAATCTTCAGAAAATACATTTTAAAATTTATTATTTATTCTCATTTTACAGATAAGAAAAATGTAGCATTAGAAAAAGTGATTAATTTTCATAGGGTCACCCAGATTGGGGAGAATTTCTTTTAACAATTATAAATGAAGTGATACTGAAGGATATTTTCATAGGTAAGAATATGATAGGACATGGATTAATTAAATTCTCAGGAAATTTCTACTGAGCAAAGGGATATATAATAGAAAACAGATACTACATCATCATCACTCAACAGACTCAATTCTATTTAGTTTATTAGTGTTTCCTGCTATGGAAATACTTCTATTCACACACTCGTTCAGTACATATTTACTGATTTCCTACTATCTGCTAGAATTATGGTAGGTGGTTGGGATGAAGAGGTGAATATAAGTTGTTGGAGTTATTCTATCAAGAAAGGCAGAGGCTAAATAACTAATTGCAAAATTAATTATTGCACTACAGTTATGGCAAGTGCCTTAGTTATAGGGCACCGCGAGAATGTAAGTTGGGGGAGGCTTAGTATTGAACAAAGTCCTGATGGTAAACAGATGAGTAAGACCACTTATTTTCTTAGGATAGTTCACTGTCCACTCAGCTGGATATGTAAACATAAATTGCAATGCCATGTGATACAAAGACTGTCCTATGGAAACTGTGAGCAATGCTCAATGGAATCACATTAAAAAGATACATAGCCCGGCCTGGTGTGGCTCAGCGGTTAAGCGTCTTACCTAGGATCCAGGCGACCAGGGTTCGATTCCCGGTCAGGGCACATGCCCGTGTTGCGGGCTCGATCAATGACTCTCATCATTGATGTTTCTAGCTCTCTCTCTCCCTCTCCTTTCCTCTCTCTGAAATCAATAAAGATATGTTTAAAAATATATGTATATTTAAAAAAAAAGATACATAGAAAACCTAGAAAAGAATTAAATAAGAAGGTTTTGAGTTGGAAATATTAACATGATTATGATTTTTTTCAGGTAGAGCAGAAACTGAAGAAAAAATAGTTACTGAAGGAACAGCTTTTTGAAGAAAATTATACTATTATAATACAATATTGTGTTTTTAAAAAATAATAGTAGGTTCAGTTTTGCTGGGGAAAAGTGTGGTATGAAATGACATTAAGTAAGCCTACTGATAAAAAGTTGTGGTTGGCTTTCAAAAAGTGTTTTTCTTGTGTTAGGAGTTTGAATGATTTTTTGAAGAGGAGTGAGTATAATAACTGTACTTCATAGAAGACAGAAGTGAATGAGCGTCAAACAGTGGTAAGAGAAATAGGAGTCTGCTCGAAGACTGTCCTAGGTGGCAGGGGTCAGGGCCTGAACAACAGCAATATTAAACAACGGATCTTTACTCCAATTGTTAGAAATTGAGGTGGTTTTGATATGGGGATGAAGAAGAGAGGGTGAGACTGACGCTGATATTGAATGTTATTGCCATCAGACAAGAGAGGGAAGACAAAATGAATGTACAGGTGAAGCAACGATTTAAGTTTGGCATGTGAAGTGTAGAGTTACTGCAATTTAACAGAGAGATGATACCCAGCAGACAGTTGAAATAATAAATCTGCTGCTCTGAGAAAAGTTGAAGGCGTGGATAAAGATTTGGGGATCATTACACCACATATATGACGTTTGAAATCATAGACATTGCTAAAATTATATGGAAAAACCCCTTACAAAGGGAAAGAAGATAGCCAGTGATAAGGGAAAGAGTGGAGAAGACCTGGCTGGGTGCTATTCATGAGCATGGGGCAATATTGGTTTATTTTCCTACCACCACTGAGTTGAATCTGAGGCAATGCCTTGAAGTGTTATTTTGACATTATGTTTTGTTTTTCAGATTCTTGAAACACTGAGGACACATTGTCTTGATTTTTCCAGCTACATAAATAATGATAGTCCATTTTAAGTGTCAGAAATGTAAAATCTATTTCAGAGTTCCTTGGAACATCTTGAACTTCCCGTTCACCCTTATGAAGTGTTTACGCAAACACTACAGATAAGAGTATTATCCAAGATCAGTAATGTATAGGCCGTGGATTATGTTTTAAACTAAACTATTCAGTTTCTGATGTTGTAATCCATTAAAGGGGAAATCAGCTTTTCCTTATAAAGGAGCAATCTGCTTGACAAGTGAAATTGCCCGTCTTGTTCTCAGATGTTTATCTCCAGCAACACTGGCTGATTGTTAGAAATGCCAAGAAATTTCTAATCACACAATAGCCACCTGTGGATGAGTCACAAAAAAAAGTAAAGGGGGAGAAACAAGTGAATACTTATGATGTGACTGGGGTTACAGAGCCACTTTTTTTCCCAAATGGGCAAAGTTCAACACTGTTAAAGACAGGATTTTATCGTAGATCACTTAGGGTCAGTTTTTATATTTCCTTTTGCTTAAGCATCCACCACCAACCCTAAATACTATTACTTCACCCAAACAGACAGACAAAGAGACAAATGTCAAATGGAGTCTTACCAAATGTTACCACCAATACGGTACTTCAGACATGTTTAGTTTTCTAACTTTTTTCTTTACTAGAGAAAGTATTGAAATCTTGGGATGAGGGATGGATAAGGTAAAGAAAAGATGTGTAATAATGATAAAAATATAATGTGGTATTTATAATTATGTAATTCATTACTGAAACCACCATTGCCCTGGGAATTTCTGTTCCCATCTTGGAGGAACATGGCTTAGAAAACATTTGGATTTCAACTAACATTATCCTTTTAATAGAGGTTTATGCATTGGCTAAACAATATTTATTGATATGTGTTTCAGATTTTGTGATTGGGTAGAAATAAAAAAATAACATATAGTTCATTTTCTTCAAGAATATGGTGATATAATTGGTGAGATAAACCCCAAATCAACTCCAGATTATGTAAATGCAATAATAGAGAAAGAAACATTTTTAGAAAGTTTTCTGCCTGGAGAAGGGCAG